GAGTAATTTTCATTGTTTACTGTATGCCCTTAGTGAAGTTTCCATAAATGGTACGTGGTTGCATTTTTAAAAGTAATTTCCACCAATTATGCCTGCTTCCCTGAGGAGCCTTTCCCTGGAGGCTCTCACACTGCTGTTCCTGAAGTGATGTGAAGCTCCTATTCTGCCCCTCTTGTCCTCCTCCATTGTTCTGAAGTGCGGCTGTTATAACTGGCTTGTGAGTAACTTCTGGTGCCACTGTTCCTGCCTCTGTGCCTCTAAGACCTTTACTAGAATGGGCCACTGGTTCCATGTCTGCACAGAGGAGATGTAATGTTTATACAGTAAATTCTACACATTGGCCCACTGAGTGCTAACTTAGGACACAAGCAAACCATGAATCAACAAGAATGCAGTGCTGTTGTTATCCTCTTGTTATTTGTCTGCCAAAATTGCCAAATACTTAGTTGAGCAATCTCAGTTTTGTCCTGCAAAAGACAAAATAAGTGTTTTCACATGTAGCAACCTCCCCTGAAGGCACAGGCAGTAGTTGGGGAAGGAAAAGGTAGGGGCAGGGGGAAGAAATGTTCATATTAGCTGACTGGGGAATGGAGACAGCATTAAAAGGTGGAGCCCAGGGGAATTCAAGTACGTAATTGGACGTTACACAGGTAGACTTAAATGCCGGCTGGCCCAGTATTTGAACACAGTGTACTTCCTTCGTGAGCATACTCTTTGATATTAACAATAAATAGTTGCTGAATTATTGAACGCAAGAGTCCTCTACCAGCAAGGGAATGAATTAGGACCAACGTCTCTGCCTTGGCTGATTTTGCTATTTTAGCACTAAAACCCCCAAGTTTACAAGGTAAGACACCCTCAATATATTGACTTGTAAGCACCAGAAATAATATTTCTTTCTTCTTCCCTGCCTTTCCAGAGACAGAGATAACTCTTTATCCTGTCTCAAGAAATGAATGAAAGGAAAAACATTCTCAGGTAACCTTGTTTTTAGTTGTCTTTGCCACAGGTTGCAGGGAAGGGCGGCAGAACCTCCCACACTTCTACGGCTGGGGGGTGGGAGGTGATTCCTAGAACCTTCTGCCCTCTGCATGGCTGCCTGCTGGCTGCATGCATCCTTTGTACACTGACAGTGGACTCTCCAGCTTTCCCTCGGGAGTTTAATGAGGAGCTGACTGCTTTGTAAGGCGGCCCCCTCCTTGTAAACCCCTCAGCTGTTCCAACAGCCCCTGTACATGTCTGGATGTCAATCTGTTATTTCTTCTGAAGCTTCTCCAAATTTATCTAATTCTTCTTCTATAGTATAGCTCTCTAAATATATTAAAAGTTTTATTTCCTCCATTTTTTTTAGGCTAAACATTTCCTGCTCTGAACTATTATTTAGATGGTATTCTTTCCATGTTCTCCATGATCTCATTTTTGTGCTCTACTCTATTAGTATTTCTTTTTAAATTAAAAACGGCCGTCCTTTGTCAAAAGCCAGACACAGATGTTTTGGACTGTGATGCCGTACAGTGTCTATCACAGCTCCTCGGGTTGCTGCTGTAGTGAAGCAGCCAGAGACAGTATGTAAACACATCAGCACGAGCGTGTTTAGGTTTCTTCGCAGTGTGGTAGCTTGGTTCAGAATCTAGCGTTCCAGGAAATAAGGCATGGCCTTCTTAGGATTTAGCCTTGAAAACCATATAGCATCGCTTCACTGTGCTGTATTGATCAGGGCGGTTGCAAAGGCCTGCATGCCAGCCAGCTTTTCATCACTGTGACAAAGTACCTGACAAGGCCAGTGGAGAAGGGAGGGTCCTGTGGCCCTGTTCCAAGGTGTGGTCTGTGGGCCTGGGCTCCATTGCCCCTGGGCAGAAGGGAGGAAAATCCCACAGTGGGAGCCTGGAGCGGAGCAGCTCACCTCACTGTGGACAGGAGTCGCATGGAGAGAGGGTCCAGGGCTGGGCCGTGGAGACCCTTCCAGGGAGTCTCCCAGTGACCTGCTCCAGAGAGGCCCCTCGCAACAGACCGTTCCATTGTGGACCATCATGGATGACCCACTGTGAGGCTGAGCCCAGGTGGACCACTCCCCTCTGCACACTGTTGCTTTGGAACTAAGCCTTCAGCACGTTGAGCTTTGGTGGGGGGTAGATCCAAACCTAAACGCCTGCCTTGATTTGCAGGGGGAATACACACTGAACATCTTTGCATGGATTTATTTGCCACATGTGTATTTTCTGTGGTCAAAGGTCATTGGAATCTTACTCATTTTTGATTGGGTTTTTATATATTTATGACTGAATTTTCTGAATTGTTATATATTCTGTACAAAAGTCTTTTAATAGGGTACAAATATTTTGTTCCAGTCCCTTGTTTGTCTTTCAGATTTTCTTAACATTTGAAGTCGTTTATGTTCACAATAAAATTGAGCAGAAAAGACAGAGTTCCTTTATGCCCTCTTTTCCTTGCTCACCCAGTCATGCATGTACCACCTCCCCTCTGTTGACATCCAGCTACAGAGCAGCACACTTGTTAGACTCCCAGAACCTGCACTGACACGTCATCATGCGCAGTGCAAACCTTACAGGAGGTTTTACTCAGGTACGTTCTGTGGATTCCAGTGAATGTATAATGCTGTGCATGCACCATGGTAGTATCACACAGCACAGTTCCACTGCCTCAGAAACAACCCTCTGCACAGTGTCTACACATCCTTCCATCCCTTCAGCCCTAGTAACTACTAATTTTTTTACAGTCTCTAGTTTTAACTTCTAATTGTTTTCCTTTTGCAGTACTGGTAATTAAACCCAGGGCCTCTCCCTGAGCTACATCCCTGGCTTTTCAAAATTTATTTATTGTTTTTTATTTTGAGATGGGTTATTACTAAGTTTCTAAGTTGCACAGACTGCCTCAGCCTTGGAGAGTTCTGGGATTATAGGCATGAACCACCCCACCCAGCCTGCTTTAACTTTTCAGGAATGTAATGTGTTTGAAATCTTTCAGTATGTAGTCTTTTCAGGTTGGCTTTTAAACTTTAGTAATATGATTTAAGTTTCTTCCTTCTCATGGCTTTATATCTCACTTACTAGCAGTGAATGATAATCCTTGTCTGGTATGTTACATGTATTTCTCCATTCATGGACTGAAGGACAAATTGGTTGCTTCCAAGCTCTAGCAATTCTGAATATAGGTTCTATAACTACCTGAGAATACTTTGATATGAATATAACTTTTCTGATCCTTTGGGTAAATATCAAAAAGAAAAAAATATCAAGGACTAAAGTTTCTGGACTGTACGATGTTTGTTACTTTATTAAGACTGCCTTCCTTGGATTTTAGTCTAGGGGGTACCCTCCTATCAGGAACTGCAACAAAGACCCTAATCTCCTGTTTGGTGCTATGATGCAAGGTTGCAAAGAGAAACTCATGTACAATCTATAGAATGGGGCCAGGAGGCCACACATGGTTACTGGCAATAAGATGTGGCCCAGGCAGAGCTTGTAAAGGTAGAGAACAAAACATTCTTGCATCAGAAACAGAAAAGACCAGATATAGGTTATGGTTCATGACTAACTCATTTTTCAAGTAAAATAAACTACAATTCTGGGAAAGGAATTTGGGAAGAGTCATCATCCTCAGCTGTGGTATTATCTCACATCAGAGCCCAGAGCCTCACTGACCATATATCTGTCTCTGCTGTAGCCATTGGTGGAGGGGTAAGCACTAACTTACCTGCCATCCATAGTGCTCAGCCTGACTTCAGCCTGACTCACTACTCAAAACAAACTGATTGTGGGATTCGCCTTTCACAGCCCACACTGCTTACAGCCTGCTCTGGGCATGATCAACAGGGCAGTCTCCCACAGCCTTCTGTGTAGTAGCACTCCTGTGCTGCAGCATGGGCCCTGCTGTTTAAAATGGACTCACCGTGGTGTACCTGTAAACCTGCTTGTGATTTATTTCTCGGGTCATGTGGTTCCAGAAGTCCTGTAAATCTCCTTAGGACTTTCATCCTGAGTGGTGCGGGCAGAGTGAGTAAACAGTTGTTAATGCTGAAGAGCTCCAGAGACTAGCGGCCAGTGAAGGAGAGAAGCAGAGACCCAGCATCCGGCAGGGTCACCTGTCCTTGGGCAGTGATGGCCAGTAGTAGCAAGGCCCAGCATCGCTTGGTATGGTCTGGAGAGTCAGCACTGCTGTCCGAGCTACCCTTGGCCAATTCATGATTTCCACCTAAGTGGAGCAGAAGAACCCAAGGTGGATTAGTAACATTCCTGTGGAGTATCTGTTTATTTCTTTTTTATTTCTTTCACCAGAATTTTCTGATTTTCCTCATATAAATCCTGTATACATTTTGTTGGATTTTTGCCCAAAGTATTTCATTTTATGAGTCTTAATGTTTCAAAGTTAACTTGTTTGTCTTTGCTATATAGGAAAGCAATTGGTGTTTGTATGTTAACCTGAAATTTTGCTACAATCCCTGATTTTGTTCCGCTTTTGTGTCAGCTCATTCTACACAGATAATCATGTTATTTGCGAACAAAGACAGTTTCACTTCTTCCTTCCCAGAAAGAATGAAAAAAGAAACGTGAGTTATTTAGAAGTGTGGTTGCCTTACAGCTTGAATAATATTTTCAACCAATGCAAGTCCACTTTGGAATAGTACTGTGCCACTAGGGTTGTGCCAGGATCTTACAATAGAATATGTCCGAGGGCTGCCTTTGCCTCTTGTGTCTTTGCGCTCCGTCAGTTCCCTTCTGTATGAGAAGAGTTGAGTATGCACATACACATGTATTCGTAATCCACCTCATCTTTGCTGTTTTCATTCTGAACAAACTGTTACCTACTCGATCGACTGCAAATAAGGGGAAGCCTTAACTTCACCTTCACACATTACTCTTCTGATGCCCTCCTTTTTTCATGTAGAGCTATGTTTCTGACCTATGTCGTTTGCCTCTTCTCTTCATAGGTGTGGGTTATGCTTCTGAAAATCAGAGCTGACATAGCCTGCTTGTTTCCAGGTCTGACCGTGACCGCTGTGAAGGACTCAGGCGAGTGGAATCTGGAAGCCGGGGCATTGGTACTTGCAGATGCAGGCCTTTGCTGCATAGACGAGTTCAACAGTCTCCGAGAGCACGACAGAACCAGCATCCACGAGGCGATGGAGCAGCAAACGATCAGTGTTGCTAAGGCTGGGTGAGTGTTCTTTGAAATCTGAGGAAACAATGAGGTTATTTAATATTTCATTAGGGAAAATTGGCAACTTTGTTGGTATTCTCAGGTGTATCAGTCATCACTCCTCAAGATACACATGAAAGTTTTTCCTTGTTAGAAGATAGTGTGAGGAAATAAAAATGAGGAAATAAAAATTTTGTGGGAAAAATACAGGATGAATGTAGGTTGACTTAATCAATGGGAGAGATTTATGCAGAGCTTTTAATGCAAGATTCAACTCATCCTGTTCATTAAATATTATATATGTAATCTGGGCATATTACTATATTAGGAATTTTGAAAGACCCTAGAAGAAAAATGCCATAGTCTCTGCTTAAATGGCATTCTTCTTATAAGTCCTAACGAAGGGTTGACCAGGGCGTATGAAAAACCAAATAATGTTATACATAAACAGGATGAAGGGCTTCCGTGACTCCCAGAGTCAGGTGGAGGTACGTGAGTCTGCGGCTGTACGTGACCAATGGGGGACATCAGCCAGGTTTAGTGAGAAATCCAGTCGCCTCGGTCCTGTGGTGGTTGTAGGAAACTTACCTGGCCACAGAATTTGGCCGCCAACTGGCTGGCTGGCCATCCAAGCAAAAGACAAGCCAGAATCTCTCAGCCTCAACGCTGCCAGGAAGGGTGTGAGACCAACCAACTGGAAAGGCAGCCGGCCGGCGTGTCTCAAACAGCACCGGTACCGGGGAGCTTGGAAGACGCTGGTACTTGTGGACCCCTGTACACTAGGGAAAAAGCAGTGGGGACTGAGAGGAGAAGGGAAGGAAGACAGAACATAGCCCGTGGGAAAAGTATGCTGGAAAGAATGAGGCAGAACTGTGTCGGACCTGTTTGTTTGTTCATCCACTCAGTACATATCTGTGTTTGTTAAGAACCTGCCATATGCCAGGTACCAGGCCAGCTGCTGAGAAGCACACATTGTTCTTTAAGTCTTGACTAGTTTTTGGAGAAAGAGAGACAAAAATAGTATTAAAGTGATAAGTCTATAATAAATGTGCCTTGAGAATACATACTTTAAAATAATTATTTCCTCTAAACTCTAGCAGGAGAAATTAAACATAGTTTGTTAAATGTCTACAGAGTCTGCTTTATCTTTTTACTGTGTCTCCATTTAACTGACATCTTTGGCAGTTAGTAGGATTTATGGTTTATTTTCATATGCCTTTTCCAGAGAAAATCTGGGACATTTTGTAAGATTCCTAAATAACCCTTTTATCAGGAAAAAACTGAAACAATTTCCATGAATCTGTTTTTGAAAATACAAAATTAACAGTGGCACATGGAGGCCTACAGAATTAATATTTATAAGTGAAAATATTTTGTGAACTACCCTGACTGCCTTACCCGCTGCAAAATATGAACTAGGGTTAACCTTCTGTGCTATCCATAAGTGTGTTGTAATTTCCACAATTAGTGTTCTATAGCTAAACAGTTCTTTTATGATACCAAGGGCTTGAACAGTCTCATCATTACTAACTACTTTGTGCTTTGCAGTAGAGCTTTTCACATTATCAGTAGTAAAGAACTGGTTTAGTTTTTTGCAGTCCATTACAGAACCATATCTGTGTGTGTGTGTGTGTGTGTGTGTGTGTGTGTGTGAGAGAGAGAGAGAGAGAGAGAGAGAGAGAGAGAGAGAGAGAGAGAGAGAGACAAGGGATTGAACTCCAGGCTTACCCATGCTGGCTTGCATAGTGCTCTGCCACTGAGCTGCATCCTCAACCCCCGATGTTTCTTCAGACAGTCTCACTGTTGCCGAGGCTGTTCTTGAACTTGCAGTCCTCTTCCTCAGCCTCTGAAGGAGCTGGGGTTTAAAGCACACACTGCTGTACAGCACTGAGAGCCATATTTTTATAAAATAAAATAATAATGAATTACTAAAAATGTGAAAGTTGAAGGCAAGAACGTATAAAATATAAACCTAAGTTCTATTTACAACATAGAAACTTGTAAGAGAAGGCTACCCTACCCTAACAAGAGGAATTTAGATAGCCCACAACAAGTATATATTTCCTGGAATTTATCATAGAGCTGAGGTCACAAACAAGGCAAGGGAACCTAATTGCAGGGTGTAACGAACCCTTCCAAGAGGACTTGGAGCACACAGACTGTTGCACCTGTGGCAGAGTGCGGCGGGAGAGAGGGCGGTCACAGAAATAAATGAAGATGTAACTAGAATAAACTTCATTCCCTGAAGTCAGTGTGGGCGGGCACGCCACTCAGGAACAACTGGGAGCTCCAGGTAGAAGCAAGCTCTGCGCACCCTTTCCCGGTGCTTTGCGCCAGACGCAGAAGACTCGAGCAGCAAAGCAGAGCGCGAGCCCCTCCTCCTGTCATCAGTCACACAAGCAACAGGGTGACTGCTGCTGGGCACGGACGTGAAAGGGCCTGGACAACTTTGTGTCAGTAGCAATAGCTTGCGTCACTCGGTGCCAAGCAGCAAACCTCCACGCCCCCAGGACCTCTAGGAAAGGGTGGAGGCGGAAACCTTCTGATTCTGTAGGGCTTGGGGGTTAGGAAACCCTCCCCTCCCAGAACCTGGGCAAAAGCATACTGCTTCTAGAAGGATAGAAACAAAAACCATCTTCCTCGGAGAGAAGGACAGTAAATGCTAGTAAATGCTCTTGGATCGAGGGTGCTGAACCAGTACAGGCACAGCGAAAGCAGAGGTCTTCTGCCATTGAGGAGGCAGAACAGTCTGCCTGCCCAGAACAGCACAAGTCCTTAACAGACTTCAGCTGCCATGCGTGGGGGGAGTGAAACTGACTGGTCTCCATTCTGTCCCATCAAAGACCAGGCACACAGACCCTGTCTAAGACGAGGAGACCGAGAACTACTCTGGCCCCATAGGGAGCTTAGTTTTATTTTGCTGTGATTTGTTGGTCAGCTTTCATTGTTTCCATGACATATTTTTATTTACAGTCTTTCATTTTTTGATTACCCAGCTAACATAGCAGAAGAGATGGTTTATTGTACATGTTATACTTGGCCACATGCAGCAGTATGGACACGTCTTAAAGGATTTTGCAAAGTGAAAGATGCCAGGCACAAGAAGCTAGATGGTTTAGGATTTCATTCATACAAAGTTCTAGAAAAGGCAAGACTGAGGAGAGAGAGAAGACCAGTAGTTGCCAGAAGTTGGGGGTTGCGGGGTGACTATGGAGCATACCTCAAAAGGTAAATCTTAGAGTTGTGTGGTTTGTACCATAGGATCCCTTAATTCTAAAGATAGATCAACTCATATATTTAGTTTTAGATTCAACTGACGTAAAATCACTCTGTCCAATTGCTGCTGACAGTTCTGAACACTTATGCTTGCGTCCTTGTCTCTTCCTGGTGTGAGTGTGAGAACGGGAGATGAGCTCACTTGGGCTTTGAGCCCTTTGGTGGATGTGCACAGACCCGTGTAAGATTAGGGTACGAGGGACAGAGAGAAAGAGCAGCACCCTTGTTTAGTTGGAGTGGCAGTTTTTTACGGTGGTGCTGCGGATTGAACCCAGGCCCTCATACACACTAAGCAAGTACTCTACACTGGGCTACGTCCCCAGCCCAGACGGAAATAATTTTAAGAATAATTTACAAACTGGATTTCTTTTGTCTGCTGGGAAGGAGAGGACTCAGAGCTTGGAGGCAGGAGATTTGAACTTTAATTATGTTGCTGCTCAGTTTTTCAGTTTCTTCTTTAAACCATGAATTACTATACTGTCAGACGTATAATAGATATTAGGGTTGGCCAGAGAAGCGCTTTGAGAACTGTGATTTAAGGAACCACCACACCATGGTGAGCATTGTTGTTATGGTCACTGCACTAAACATTTGTATTATGTTTTCAAGATAAAACCCTCCAGACATTTCTGTTTTGGTTCCATCCAAAGTGTACGACATGGATCACAAACAACATTTTAACCTTGCAGTTTCTTTACATGAATGTAAGAATGTTTACTTTGCAAACCATTTTAGCGTATTTATTTCACTTAAAGGTTACTGTAATTTATGCATTGAAGGAATGATAAGATTTTTGTGTTTCTCTAGTTACTGTAGTTAAACGGGCCTTATTCACTGGGTGTCAGGTGTGGATTTTGGCGGCATTCTGCTTTGTTCTTCCCCACATAACTTTCTGGACTCATCAAGACATTTATATTATTTGTTACTATCGTGCATCTTTAAAGACTCTTTCTAAACACTGCATACTGTATAATTTATTAGTAGTCTTCACGGGCCTGGGCCTTTCATTTCTCCATCTTGGAAAGATTTCTTTTTCTCGATCAATGTAGTGAAGTACTTTATAAATCACGCTGTGATAGCAGGTGGGGCCTTGGAGCCCACTGCACCCAGGGAGGTCAGCCTGCGTGTGACGGCGAGTACCTTGTAGTGGCTGCCTTTGATTCCTAGCACAAGGGTGCTAACAGTGCTGACCAGAAATCCCAACTAGACTTAGCGTTTCTCAGTCTTAACAAGTTTACAGTTTATGTAAAAACAGAGCACACGCAACCTGGGTCTAAATCTCTTATATCCTGGGTTCCGAGGCTCCATGTTTTTCCTGCCAAGGCCATGGCCTAAGTGGGCGCCCCACAAAGAGCCGAAGTCACGCACCATTGCCCACCATCACTGATCTTTTCTATTTCTTTTTTAGACTGATGCATGCTCCTGACACGTAATAATTACGTCCATCTTGGGAGCTGGTACACACATGTACCATGCCTCATTTGTACTTGCCCTCCCCTCCCTGCTTTCCCTGCCCTGCATCCCAGATCCCTTTCTGTCTCCACAAAGTATATCTCGCTGTTTCCCATCATCTGTCCTTCATTTTGTCCTTTAAATTATTTATATTTTGGGTTTCTCGTAAAGAAATACTAGGCGATACTTAAGTTTGTATGTCTGATTTATTTCACTTAGCATTATGTTCTCAAAATTGATCCATTTACCTACCAGTGCCTCAGGCAAAGTGAAAGATGCAGAGTAGTACT